TGTTCATTATATTTCATAAATGAGTGAGATCATGTAATATTTATCTTTCTCCGAGTGGCTTATTTCACTTAGCATAATGCTCTCCAGTTCCATCCATGCTGTTGCAAATGGTAAGAATTCCCTCTTTTTTACCGCACATAGTATTCCATTGTGTACCACAGATTTTTAATCCACTCATCTGCTGATGGGCACTTAGGTTGTTTCCAAATTTTAGCTATGGTAAATTGTGCCGCTAATAACATAGGATGCATATATCTTTTTTGATGGGTGTTTCTAGTTTTTTGGGATATATTCCTAGAAGTGGGGTCACTAGGTCAAAAAGGAGTTCCATTTTCAGCTTTTTGAGAAAACTTCATAGTGTTCTCCACAGTGGCTGCACCAGTCTGAATTCCTACCAGCAGTGCATAAGGGTTCCTTTTTCTCCTCATCCTTTCCAGCACTTGTTGTTTGTTGATTTGTTGATGATAGCCATTCTGACAGGTGTGAGATAGTATCACATTGTCATTTTGATTTGCATCTCTCAAATGATTAGTGACTTTGAGCATGTTTTCATATGTCTCTTGGCCTTCCTTATGTCTTCTTTCAAAAATTATCTATTTAGGGGTCCTCTCTCTTTGCTTCTTGGTGAGCCTGGATAGAGGTTCATTAATCTTGTTTATCTTTTCAAAGAACCAGCTCTTGGTTTCATTGATCTTTTGCATTGTTTTTTTGGTCTCTATGTCAATTATTTCTGCTCTGATCTTTATTATCTTCTTCCTTCTGCTCACTCTAGGTGCATGTTGTTCTTTTTTTGCTATAAAAATAAATACAGCCTGGCTAGCATGGCTCAGTGGTTGAGCGTTCACCTATGAACCAGGAGGTCATGGTTTGATTCCCAGTCAGGGCACAAATCAATAAAAAATATATTTTAAAAATGAATACAAGTATTAAAGGACTGTGATGATATTTGGAATATGTATAACTGCTAATGAATCTTAGATACAGTATTTGTTTCCAAGAAGATAGCAAATTTGTGAGGAAATGGTCAGAATTTGAGTTGCATTGTCTATACCTTGTATTTAGAAGAATATGAAAGATAAGTAGATCTGCAGTCTGGGGGGTCACTTCTTCATCTCAGCAATTGCTCTCTCTCCCCTAACCCCTTGCTCTTTACATCCTATGCTAATTTTGTCTTTGCTCAGTATGTGACAGTGATGTAAATAAAAGGTAAGTTTTACATGTGCATCTATATGCATTTATTTAATTAACCAGAATACCTAAAAGTGGGCAAAAATTGCTAACAAAAGTACTATTGGGAAATAGAAAACAACCCAAATAATAAATGATCCTCAAATCTCAAAACAAATTAAGCATTAGACTGGGTGTAAGAAGGGCTGAAAGTAAGGACATACTCTTGTGCATTTCACTAGATTCTTTTTAATGGGGATAATAAAACCAACTGTCCAATTGTACTTTAGAAATAGCAGTGATTTTTGTGGGAAACCTTTTAAAATAATTTTATACTTATGGTGCACAACTTTTTTTTTTTTTTATAATAATATAACATCTCTGTTTTTGCAAAGAGAAAAGCTGAGGAAAAAAGCAGTATCATCAGCTGGCAGTGAACTCAAGAGTTATTCCAAATTTTCCAATTTTTGCAATTATTCCAATTTTCAATGGCTTATCACATAATTCAGCCCTTTGTAAAAATCTGTGACTGACTTTGAACTCTAGTATTTGCACTGAAGCTTAGATATTGTAGTTTACATATGTTACTTTCCTTTTGTTGTTGTTTGTTTTTAAATTTTTCTTTAATTAATGAATTAATGAATTGTATACAAGATACTTCCTAATCTTTTAGCTATAGTTTGTTCCTTCCATATTTGGATTAATACCTTACAGATTGGGGAGATAGTGACCAATGCTAGATGAAAAGCTCATGGCTACAATGCCTGGTAGCTGGCCCACCTCAACAAATTGCAGTAATAGTTACTGTGGCTCTCTTAATTTGCAATGTAAAACAATACCATTTCTTAGTCACATTTGATTCAACAAAATGGTCCGGACAAAAAGTGCCTAAGGGACTCCTCCTTATCTAAGATTTGAATTCCATTATTCCCTGAGCTCCAGTTTTGATGGAGACATGCTCTTTGGCTGCCTCAAAGGAATAGTTATAGCTATTATGGTGATCCTAATAAATAATAAAGTGTGGCTGATACAAAAGTAATTTATATTCATGGATTAGCTGGGTACATAGGTTTAATAATATTGACATTACAGCAACATGCTTAATAGCACATTGTCACAATATCATCTGTTAAGTATTTCTTACTAATGCTTTTCATATCTGGCTAGTAATAATTTGTTAAAGGCAATGTAGCTGTACATATTAATTCTTTAGTAAATGTGAATATTATATTCTTGAATGGCACATGACTTAATTCATGATATTTTGGGTTGTAATTACGTGAATAGGAACTCAATCTCATCTGAATGGGAAGATTGCGCATTTGTAGGCCTATTACAGTTGGGAAATTAAATGTAAAAGGAGTAGCAACAGCTAAGAGCTGCAATAGGAAACATTTGACTAAATGCAGTAAAACTATTCTATGTCACCCTTGCCACTCATTCCTTGCCATTTCATCCTCTGACTCTAAAATGTATAGCAAGATGGCTAAAATGGAATGAAGTTATGATACTTTCCTCAGCTACCCAGATTATATTTAGTTGCTTGTTTTTACTTGTCTAGCACAAAATAAAATTAGTGGAACTCAACTTTTATCTATCAAAGCTACAGAAATATCTACATTTCATTGACTTATTCAATAAGCATCTATTGATCACCTGTTTTCATCTGGTACTGTATTAAGCCCTGTAGATACCAGATGAAGACAGATATCCTATCTGCAGAGCATTTTAATTAAGATGGATATTATATAACAAATTAGAGATTAAAAAGAAAGATTATAGGCAAGATGCAGCAATAACTCTCTAAATTTCCAGAGACAAAATGCATCTACTTATGATTCTTAAAAGCTTATCAAACAAACTGCTTGCCTTCTATGAAAACTTACTGTCACTGAATACGAAGCACAAGATAACATAGGCTGTTTTAAATAGTTGATGTTAAGTGGGGTGGACAGGTCTGATTCTCAGGTCTTCCTTGTTACTCATCCTAGAAATCTTGCTAATATCCAGAAGGAATCTTTCTTCTTGTTATGAGTATTCCCACTTTAAATTATTCTCTATACTACTTGTGGTTTTGTATACTTTATACAAATGATCTCCTGCGATAAAAATGATAACTTGAAATTTAAATAAATCAATTTATACTTTAATTGAGATAGTCCATCTTATTAAAAAACATCAATATAAAGGTAAAAAAATCCATTTTTATATTTATGCATGTTATAGTATAAATCAGTACTTTATTTCTTGTTATTTCTGAATAATATCACATTATATGGCAATCAAGAGGAGCAGCCACCGAAACCGGTTTGGCTCAGTGGTAGAGTGTCGGTCTGTGGACTGAAAGGTCCAGGCTTCGATTCCGGTCAAGGGCATGTACCTTGGTTGCGGGCATATCTCCAGTAATGGGTGTGCAAGAGGCAGCTGGTCGATGTTTCTCTCTCATCGACGTTTCAAGCTCTCTATCTCTCTCCCTTCCTCTCTGTAAAAAATCAATAAAATATATATATATTTTTTTAAAAAGGAGCAGCCATGGTCAAGGACAAGGCTAACAAGGAGAAAGTAAATCACTAGAACCCAATGAAGAAACTCTTTTGAGGATGAAGAAATGACTAACTCCATTAAATGATGCAAGTTGTTGAATAAGATTAATATTCAAAATTTAGCATTGGATCATTCAATAAATTGACTTTGACAGTTTTTTTTTTTTTAGCAAAATAATTGGACAGAGTTCAAGAGAGAAGAGGAAAGGTAGAGAACGTTGAGACAACAAATATTGCCCAATATTCCAAGGATTTTTACATAAAGAAAAGCAGAGAAATAAATGGTATTGGAGCTGGAGAGAGTATGTGATCAAGGATCTGTCCTTGAATTTTTTGTAAAATGGATTATGTTATAGTGTATATGACACTAATAGGGAATCTAATGCAGTTGGATAAGGAGGTAGTATAGGAGAGATATAGATAAATTGATGTGTAATGTGATGGGAGGTTTTAGAAGTCTCTTCTAATTGCTGCTTTTTGTTGTTGTTTCCTTCTCATTGGGATGTTTTAAAGCTTACTTCTAGAGCAGTTTTAGGTTCACAGAAAATTTGAGAAGAAAGTACAGAGATATTCCATACACCCCCTCCTCCCTCACATGCATGGCCTCCTCCATTACCCACAGCTCCCACCAGAGTGCTACATTTGCTACAACTGAGGAGCCTGCAATTGACCTCCTTCTGTTTTTAAACATAAATATGAAACATGCTTCTGAGCTGTGAAAGAGGAGAAGGAAGGCATATTGAAAGCTTTAGGTGTGAACTAGTCTCTCTGGGACAAATGATAATGTGAACTAATTGGAAAATGACTAAGAAAACTTAGTAGAATTGATAGTCACTGTCAAGGGCCCATTTCCAGTTTGTGGTCATAAATTCAATTTGAAGCCATTGATTGCAATTGCTTGATTGTGTTTGCCACTTGCCATTCTTTGAAATGTAAACACATAGTAGGAGAGCTGGAGCTTAACAGAATCAAGTATTACCAGCTATACATGACAGAGGGGGAGAACAATGAAGTAGTAGTTTTATAAGGGAATGTAGTAATGATGGGAATGATGAGGGATCCTGCAACCTGAATTTACTGGATGGGATATGATTACAAAAGAGAAATGATAATCAGTGAGAAGGCAATTGGGTTAATGGATTAGAGGTATTGGTTTAGTAAAGAATTAAGAAATTAGACAATGTCAGATGAAATTATAGTTGGTAACAATAAGAAAGTACAAAAATTTAAACTGAGAGGCTGCCCAGCCGGCATGGCTTAGTGGTTGAATATAGACTTATGAACCAGGAGGTCGTGGTTTGATTCCCGGTCGGGCCACATGCTCAGGTTGCAGGCTCGATCCCCAGTATAGGTGTGTGTAGGAAGCAGCTGATCAGTGATTCTCTCTCGTCATTAATGTATCTCTCTTTCTCTCCCTCTCTGAAATTAATAAAAATATATTTTTTAAAATAAACTGAGTAGTTAGACATTGTGTAGTTACTGGTGTTGATATGATTGAGGGTAAAACCATGGGAGTAAGTGGCTAAGGTTAATGGACAACTAGATCAGAGAGGGACCAGAACTCTTTTTCATTGGATCATCCAAGGGGATATGAAAATCACATAGACAGGAAGTATAATTATCTCAAAATGGCCAATGAAAGAAAACCAGGCATTACTTGAGAAAATGGAAGGAGAAATATCTTTGTTGTAATCAGAAGATTTCAGTTAGAAAAAAAAAGTGAAGAAAATATTCAGATAAAAGACTGAGGATATAAATACTTTTTGTAACTGATGGACGAGCATATGTCTGTCATGGGAAAATGTTTGGGATGCCTGAGACAGATATGTGATAAGGTCAGAATGGCACATACAGAGCTTGTAAAGAAGTGTGGTTTGCCTGGCTAGCTCAATTTTATAGGCTGTGTTTACAATCACAGATGTGGCTGGCCTTCCACACTTCATCCAATAGTTTGGAAACTTTAAGACATTATGATTACATGAAACACCATTTGCCATCAAAAAGGAAAAATTTGAAAGCTTAACCATTTCATCTGATTCTGAGTTTGTGCAGCAGATAATTCAGAACACTTGATCATGTTCTGAGAGATGCTGTATTCATTAGCATTATTTCCATTTCCTTTGAATATAGCCAAGAGATTACCCCCACACACAGAATACATAAGGACTGAGTATCTGCTTGCCAATGGACCACTGGATGGGATAAAGACAGCTCATTCTTTATTCCACTTCGATCTCTGGCCTGTGTGATGGTACTGTCAACAAGGGGGTGACACGATGCCAAGTATCGTTGTGATTTTTATGACCTGGACATCTGTCTAGTATGTACTAGACGAGGACCACAAGTTCTGTCACAGAGGCCATGGAAAAACTGCCAGATGGTAATGAATTTTAGCCACTGCTGACTTCAGCTGGATGCAAACAAATGACCTAAGGGACCAGATTCCCTATCTGACTTCTAATCCTTTCAAGCTAACCACTCTTTCCAAGATATGATTATAAATGCAATATTAATGCAGAAACAAACTTGAAGCCAGAAAGCAACATTAAGTAAATAATTTGGATAATACAAAAAATAAACAATTTTTTGGAGAGATAGTAAGCCAAATAATTTATGGTTCTTTATTTTTGTTGTTGTTTGTTTTTTGTTTGTTTGCAAACCTTTATATTTCTTTCCCTCATCTAAAAGGGTCAGAAACTAGAATAATGAAAATTTGCCTCATTTGTTTTCCTGTTTTTTTGTGGGTTTTTTTACTCCAAATAAAAAAGATCATTACAATGATTATGTCACAACATTCACAGAATAATGTATAATAAAATAATATATTTTTACCAGTATTACACCCAAAGGATAGAGTATTTTATTCTGACAAATTTAATTTTTAATAAACAGTTTTTTTAATTTTGTTTTGTTTTCATTTTTGCTTTAGTTTCAAGTCATACTTTTTAATATGTATAAGCAATTACTCAATAATAAAGTAAATGGAAATAACTGTTGGATTTTTTTAGAGTCTTAGCATAATACTGAATCTTTTTTTTTTCTTGGTAATATTTTATTTTGCAGGCATATATTTGTCAAAACAGAAATGAGGAAAAAGAACCACACTTAGACATTTTTAGTTATTTATTTTTTATATGAAAACAATTTTATTATTTTTAAATTACATATATGAATGGAGTAGAGGTCATACATTGAGAAGGATTTAGGTTCAAAAGTCATTAATAAAAGTAGTATTTACTAGTGTTAGACATTTAAAAAGTTCTCTTAAATGTCTGACTCAATAGCAATCAGCTGGATTCTCATATTTGCTTCTGCATTTATTCTGTTGAGATTTCATATGTCATGTAGCTTCTGGAAAATGTCACTCTATCTTCATGAGAAAATGAGAGAGAAAAGGCAAATAAGATCTTACTAATAGTTTGATTATGAAAATAGTTTTGATCTCACCAATCTCCAGGTCCACACTTTGGGAATCTCTGACACAGGAAATCTGAGACAAAACAGAGTAATAAGACTGGAAGAATACGGAAACTTTAATGGGATTTTTTTTTTTTAGTTAATCTTTCTAAATTATAATGATTTATGAAGTATAAAGCTTTTTATACCCAATGTTATTTTTTTTTTTTCCTTAGTGAGACTTTGAATTGGGATTCAAAGAATGGATAATTAGCATGTGGATGTGTAGATCAGAGAGAATTTAGATCTTCCATTTTAGTGCTATGTCCAATGATCCATTTGAGTCTTCCTTCATCCCACATGCCCTACTGAAATATTTGTCACTGGCTGTCAGTCTCTATCCCTTTAAACACTTTGTCAATCAGACTATCAATCAGAATGCTGCCCTCTCCTTTTCTTACCTGGTCATGATTTTTCAGCTCTTCCTCTTCTCTCTGAGAAATTACTGTTGGTTTCCCCAAGGCATAGACTTTGTTTCTCTTCTCTACTACTTCTTCACTACTTCCTAAGTGACATCATTCCCCCTCCTGACCTTAAATAACACCTCTATGCTGATGAATCCCAAATGTGAGCCCCTAAAATTAAATAACTAGCTACCTATCATGCATATCTATGTGGAGGACCAATAAGAATATAATACTCCATCTCCTATTCCTTTTTTCCTTCCTATCCAGATGCACAGGATTCCTTGATTTTCCAATAAGTTCTTTCTACAGCTCTTTTTTCCACCTATTGCACTCTTTCTCCAAATACCGTATTTTCCAGCGTATAAGACGACTTTTGAAATGAAAAAAAGCCTTCTCAGATTGGCCAGAGTCAGAGAGGCGGTCTATTAAAAAAAAATAACTGGTGTTGCCTCGGAAGTGGGGGGTAGTCTTATACAGCAAATATAGGCCTAAACCTATGTTTTAACTGTAAAATTAGGTGGGTCGTCTTATACGCCGGAAAATACAGTGGCACCCTCTTATTTAATCTTTGCTTCAGTGTCACTTTCTTAGTTAGGCCTGTTTAAAAACTATACACTACCCGTAGCCATTGTGGCTTAGTTGATTGGAGCATTGTCCCTTACACTGAAAGGTGGTGGGTTTGATCTCAGTCAGGGCACATACCTAGGTTGCCAGTTCAATTCATAGGCAGGGCACATATGGGCGGCAACTGATCAATGTTTCTCTCTCTCTTTCTCTTTCTCTCTTTGAATCAATAAAGAGCATATCCTCCAGTGAGGATTTGAAAAAAACCTACAAGCCCTCGCTGGTTTGGCTCAATGGATAGAGCATCAGCCTGTGGACTGAAGGGTTCTGGGTTCCATTCCAATCAAAGGCACATGCCTGGGTTGCAGACTCCATCCCCAGTAAGAGGAGTGCAGACAGCAGCCAATCGATGGTTCTTTCTCATCATTGATATTTCTATCTCTTTCTCCTTCTCTCTTCCTCTCTGAGATCAATAAAACATTTTAAAAACTCATAAAACCTACAAACTTGTTAAAATCAGAACTCTTTGCTTCCCATTGTTTCCTGCACTCTTAGTGTAGAGTGGCACTCTCTACACTACTAATTATATTGTAATATTATACCGAAGGGAAAGAAGTTTTTAAGGGTAAAATAGGCGGTTTAGGAAGTTTTAGGTGTGGAGGGCTGTTTCTTTGTTTTCCGCAACAGGTTACTGAGTGGAGGAGCTGGGGATTAAGAAATTAAAAAAAGACAAAAAAAGACCAAGACACAGAAATGGATTCAAGCTGGGATCCAGGTAGGGGACTGTCACTCTGAGGGATAGTCAACATCCACTACAGACAACACAGTGCATTTATTTCCAAAGGAGGTTTTAAGGTCAAAGAAGTTTTGGGTGTGTTCAGGTCCTATTCATTTTCTCATTCCTAGGATTTAGCATATCAAGACCTGGGTAAGTCAAGGTCCTATTCATTCCTCATTCCAAGCACATGGATAAAGATAAGAAATCAGTACTGATAACAGTCTCCCACATTTTGGGGAAACATGTTCCCAGGGCGTGGCTCTGCCTATGCCTTGAGTTCAGCTGATGATAATTAAAAGTCATCCATGTGCATTCCCAAGGGGCCCTCTACATTTAGGAAATAGAGGGTTCACGGGGGAGAACCACAGGGCTACAAAGCTGGGAGCTGCAGAAAGGTATACATTCACAGAATAAAGGAGAGGAAGCCTCCCATACACAGAATAAAGAAGGCCACAGGGAATAGAAAAACAAAAGGGAGAAAAAGAGGGGAACCTCATGCAGGGTTTGAGCTCTGAAGCAGCTATAATGACCAATCAGAGGGGATATCAGGACACAAAGAACTGCAGCCTTTATAAACTGGAAGAAGAGGAACTTAGTGGGTCTTCCCCTTCCCACAGTGGGAATCTGTTCTCGATTCCCAACAAATTCCTATCTTTTGTCCATGGCTTCGTTCTTTGAATCCACCTGGACAGGAACCCAGGAAATCACCTTTGCATCCTGCCCAGAGGAAAACAATGCATTCCAGTTTGATTCCCGCGTTTCAATACCATGTATTACATGCTAACATTTTATATAATTATTTATTTATTTGTTTTGCCCCCATAGGTGCCAATTTTATTTTCTTTCTGAATAAGCTCCACAGGGACAAGAATTTTTGCTGTATTTGCTAATGTATGTATGGTAGTTCTTCCTTCTGGGCAGGGAATATGCTCTAAGATGTCCGTGGGTGCCTGAAATAGCAGATAGAACAAAATCCTGCATAGACAATGCTTTTTCTTATACATCAATACCTATGATATAGTTTAATCTATAAATTAAACACAGTAATAGATAACACCAACTAAAAATAGAACAATAATAAAAATATAGTATAATAAAAAATGTTAATGTGGTCTCTCAAAATTGCTTTCTGTACTATATTCACCCTTCTTGTGATGATGTGAGATGCTAAAGTGCCTACTAATTAGATAAAATGGAGTGAATGATGTGGTTTTGTGAGGTAGTGTCAGGCTACTATGTTTTGGGGCCAATATTAAGTAAAATAAAGGTAATTGAACACAAGTAGTGCAATACCGTGACAGTCTATCTGATGACCAAGACAGCCAATAAGTGACTAATGGGCAGAGAGTGTATACAGTGTGGAAATGCTGGACAAAGTGATTGTTCATATCCTGGGCAGACAGAGCCAGTCAGCACAAGATCAATCATGCTATCCCGAACAGCATGCTTTGATGGCCAGAGGAAAGTAGGGTGGGGGATACATGGAGGTAGGGAAAAGTGGAAGAATGGGGGACATCTGAAGTAGTGTCAACAATAAATTAAAAACATAAAAAATATATGTTATTTCTGAAATTTTCAATTTAAAAGGGCAGGTTACTAAAACCAGAAAAAGCAGATCTGCAGATAGAGGGGGGAATACTTTATTCCCAGAACCTAGAATGGCATCTAGTAGGCACTCAAATGTCTATTTAATGTGTAAATATTTATATTAAAATATGAAAGTCATGACATCCAGAAAGAGCAGAAAATACTCGTAGGACAGATGTGGGGAGGCAAACACAGTAAGAGCAAGCTAAGTTTGGTTGGAAGAGCCTTCATGCTTCAGAGCTATAGATGGAAAGGTATCCTTGATAGTAATGAAAGGTAACCTTTTTATAGGCCTTCATGAGATGCTATGGCATATTCTTCCATGTTGTCATGGAAGATCAGAGAGATCTTCATGGAGAATGCTAAAAACAAAGTCATTTCTCAGCCATTGCTAAGTTGAATCTATGTGTAGGTCAAGGCCGAATGAAATCACAACTTGGTTCTTTCAAGTTGTGTTGTGATTTATGAATATGAGTTTCAGCTTGAAAAACAAGTCCCTAATGAGTTCACTATGTATTCACTCTGTTACCTAATATATATTATATATATATATATATATATATATATATATATATATATATATAATATACTCATAATATATATAGATATAAACCTATAATAGTATGAGAGAGGAGAAGTAAGAACACAGACTGGGAAGGATTTGAATTATCTTCTTTGATGGTTAATAAATTATATTTTAAATTTATAATTTGGTTTTGCCAATTTGCCAAAAATAATGCTAGCAACTAGATTTCAATCTTTTTTATTCAACATGTTGAAGTTTTATTGCACCATTACAAAGCATTTCCCAGCCCTCAATAAAGATAAATTTTTCAACCAGGGAAAACCTGTAGAGACAAGTTGGGAGGTTAAAAACTCAGTAATGAATGTTCTTGTTCTTGTGGGTTATCACAGATTCTTAGCATTATTTTAATGTCATTTCTAATGTGAATTTCCATGCTATTTTAATTCATTAGTCATGGGCTATCATTTTTTGAAGTAATTACTGTAATTTCATCAAATGACATAATTATAGTAAATACTTTGATGTAATTACCATAAATATGGAAAGAGACACCCAAAGGTATAATAACGTCACAAACTAAGATATTTATGATGTGTAAAGACAAATTATGATGACATTTATGACATGTAATAACATCACAGAGTTCTATGTTTGTGTTGTATAAAGAATAATGATATAAATAGAATGTAAAATTACATCATCAAGATTAATTTCTTTTATAAATAGTATAGAAACTTGAGAGCTTTACAAGCCTTCAGGTTTGGATTAATAGATCATTGCCACTTTTTGGCATTTTTCCTTTTGAGCCCTAATGAATGACTATGCTATTTTATTAGGAGTAAAAGCATTATCTTGTAAAAGCATAAACATAGAAACAAAGCAGAAACACAAAATGAGAAACCATTTTTATTTAGCCCTTTAAAAATAGTTATTTGAAGAGCAAAAAATAATTTTATGTTTTGAAGAAAGTCAATGTTTAGTTCATAGTGTCGGTACAAACTAACAGGACATTTCAGTATTTTCTTTAAAAAAAATGTCAGTTTGAACCTTTGTCACTTGCCAAAATAGACATCCATTTAATTGAAAGATTTCTTCTTTTGTCACATTATTAAGTTTGAATCCATTAAGAAAGTTTGCATGCCTATAACCTGACTATTGGAACAATGTAAAAATAGGTTTTAAGAAAAGAGGAAAGTAGACCCCAAACTCAAAGCAAATGTAAAATTTTATGAACTTGTTTACGTTTTGTTGTTAGACTGAGACAGACAAGTACCATAAAAATAATTCCTACTGCAGAGTTGTAGCGTAAGGTGAAAAGTATTATGAACATCAATTGGTTTATGTATAATATAATTACTGACCAGTGTCTTCTGGTATCCAAGAGAAATACAATGTCATAAGATGAGTAGTTTTTCCCTAATGTATTAGTCAAAGGAATTTTTTGGAGCATTCACTTCATCTGGTTATATCTCGAGCATGAAATGTAGTAGTTGATACCATTATACCTTTTATTCTCTAGGCAATTTAAAAGAGCCTTCCAAATCAGCAGCCTTAGTATTCCTGATAGTCTTGATAAAGTGTTAGGGCTCCGTAATTTTCTCTCCCTGGACAACAATTCCAGGTCATAATTTGGTTAAATGTTTTACCACTTTTCACAGTAGGTTGCCAAAACCATATTCAAGAATAACCAGTGGATTATTCTTGTTTTTGTTTTTTGTTTTTTGTTGTTGTTGTTCCTTGAATGGTTATTCCTTGCAAGCACTTCTGATCCCAATTTCTGCTTCTGTAAGAGTTCTTAAACAACACTCCAGTTATTTTTAAGTAGTAAACAAATTTATTAAGTCATACTTTGCAATTCATATCATCTCCATGAGAGCCAGCAAACGAGCCTCAAAAGCTACACTACCAGGAAAAATATCCAGATATGCCCCTGGAGTGCTTGCAGGCATAATGCCGCTTCCACAGGTATGGCATATCCTTCCCCTGGGAGGAATGCGTATAGAACCTTGGAAAGTTACTGTTAGGACTTCTGTCCCTGCCACATCTGATAACTCATTGTCCCCTATGCCATATTCCTCTGTACATGTCAGCAAAATGACCGCTGCAGATAATTCATCCCTCATGTTGTTCTCTGCTGCAGGAAAGTCATTGTCATGATTGGATCTGATTGTTGAAACCTGGGTCACTTGGCTTTGCCTCACCTGCAAAGAAGCCAAAAGGGTAAGATCTTGGCCTCACACTTGGGGAAGAGGAAATTACAATGTGGTAAGCTTCCTAATTCAAATGTTCCCGGGCTGACATAAACTTTCTCATGTCCACTATATCTGAGAAATATGCGGCTCTTTAGCCCCTTGAGTGTGGCTCTTCCACAAAATACCACGTGCGGGAGCACACATACAGTGCAATTGAAACTTCGTGGCCCATGCGCAGAAGTCAGTTTTTGGCCTAGGCGAGTCTAATTTGAAGAAGTGATTCTAACGCTGAGCCACACTCAAGGGGACAAAGAGCAGCATGTGGCTCTTGAGCCACTGTTTGCCGACCGCTGCTCTAGGGGACCTCAGGCTTAGAAAACATGTAGAGATATGTTAAACTGTTCCTGAGCATCTCACTCAAGGGTTACTCTTTGATGCTGTTGAGTTTTCCCCCTATGTCTCAGTACCTCTGCATATTAGAATTAAGATGTCGAGATAAAGATGCAAAATGACACATCTCTGAATGGATATGAGTTGCTAAAATATGACCTTGTTTTAAATTGACATACCATTGCACATGACTAAGTTTCATATGTCATCAGGCTGCCCATATCTGAACCACATCCAGCACAGCCAGCAGTGAACCTGAGGAGGGGTAGCTAAGGATTAAAGAAAACAGACAAGAGAATACATTTGGGACGAGGTGGATCACTGGGCCTGGATGAGGAAACAGTGACACAACCTATAACTCAAAGCTTTATTTGATAGTCTGATCACACAAAGCAAAACAAGGGCAGGGTGTTTACAATGTTCTTGCACATTTCAAATCTGTTTCTTTCTTGTTGCTGCCATTCTATGAACTCTATCAAGCCTTGATTTGGCAGCACTTGCTGCACCCCCTGCAGCCCACATCGCCTTAGCTACCTAGGACTGCGGGGTCGGACTGTAAGGTCAAGCTCACAACCATAGCCTTTTGGCTATAAGTATGCTGAGAGGGCTTTGCCCTCCAAGCTGGGACTTACATGTGGTTTTGCCACAAGTCAGTCCAAGACTTGAACCTGTCCAAACACTGTAGCCACTCTCCACAATATCAATTTAGAATGATTTTATTTCTACTAAATTACTTGGAGTCACCACAACATATATGCCACAGAACTGACCGATTTACATTTGATATGAGTTCAGTCACAATTTCTCTAAAGGATTTTGAACAGGCAAGAGGGTACTACCACTCAGTCCCTGGGAGTCCTGAACAACTAGGATAACCCTCTTTTAAGTCCATGGTTTCATTTTGGAGAAGATGGTCACAGTGGCTCAGTATTACACCAAAAATATGTGTCCACCGTCAGCCGAGAACTCTGTTTCTGGGCAAAGGTACCCTTTAGTTTAGCTCAAATTGAGTTTTTCTAAAGGAAGAACTCACCTTATAATCCTTCATACTGAGGAAGCTGGCAGGTTTTAAGCACAAACACAATAAAAAAAAATGCACCATACAACTTTGTATGCACATATGCAAGGCCCATAGACACAGACAATGGGTCGGTGAGGACTTTGGGGGAGGGCTGGAAGAGATCAATGGGGGGAAAAAGGGGACATATGTAATACTTTCAACAATAAATAATTATTAAAAAAATAAGCAATTGAAAAACAATAGTTCATGCAAAACTTACAGGATTGTTCAGATATTTGGAGTGGAATAAATCATTAAAAACTGCCAGAAATTTAGTCCACTGTAGTGAAAAATATAAGGCTTAATTTGAAGAAATCTAGCTAAGAAACTGAGGGGGGAAGGGGTAAAAATAATTTACTTCCAAAGCATTGAGAAGCTAATAGCTACATATTTATGTGTGTGTGTGTGTGTGTGTGTGTGTGTGTGTGTGTATACATTTAGCAAAGAGATGACATAAACAAAGTTAGAATTTGCGAGCATAATTGGATAGCACAAAAAATTGTATTTTTTAGTGATAGTTTCCTGCAAAAGAATGATCTCTTCAGTTTACCATCAGTGTTTCCCAGACAGATTTGAAAAATGACCCAGGCCCAACCCCAGTTCCATTTTGCTCTATGTATTCCTTTTTAACCACATTACATCAATGGTCTCTTAATCACTGGAATTACTTGCCATTTAATGCCTAAATAGCGTAATTGTAACCAGCTCTTTTATTTTCCACTTTATTCCATTTTAAATTAGTTTTCTAGCACCCAACTGTTTTGGAGTTTTGATTGAAAGCTCCACTTTCATCTTTAATGAAAAGACATCTGAATGAGAAGAGTCCCCGAATAGGTTAGTTAGGACAATGGGTACTACCAAATCTGAGCATCAAATGTCAGGGGTAATACAGGGAGGCATTAAGCAGCCCAGAATGGTCAGTGTATTTAGAACCTATGAATTCTGAACCTGACTCCATTCCCGCCTGCCTGTGTGTCGCCCTCTACAGATAATCTTGCTTCTGTTTTCATTAGCTATGGAATTAAGTATGGTGGAACAGTATGCTTGTCAAATTGTCACAGTATGACAGGGATATGTTTGAAACTAGTAGAAAATGGTTTGTCCATCTCTTCAGCAAAATGAAACAAGCCCCTATTGTGTTTTAAGAGTGAACTCAATTGCCTGCTTTATGCTGTCACATGTTTGCAAAGAGTGTAAATTGATTTTCACTCAAAAGAGACTGAAAAGCCAAAGTGCTTGCCAAACTGGAAATTGCTAACCTGGATGCAGAAACTCACCCCAGCCCGTGGAATGGGAGGGAATCTAAACGTTTAACGTGGAGAAAGCAACTTCAGCCAGAATCATCCCACGGAAGCCAGCTAATTATAAGCGACACAAACAAATCATTTGCAAGAGTACAATGGTCAGTTTTTTTCCAAACTGATTACCTTTTAGCACAATTGGATTGAAGAGGCTTTACACATATTTATTCTGAGGAAACAAATTTCTCAAGGCAGAGCTGGGGTGTTTACATGGGCGAACTTTATATTAGGGGCAGGGAGTACCTAAGCAAAGAGGGTGCTTAACTTAAGGTAGATATGGAAGTTTCTGAGAGTTGGAAAAAAAATCTCAGTAACAACAAAACTTGCTATCTCACTGCAGCCTATATAATAAAATAGTAATATGCAAATAGGAGGTAGTAATTAGGCTTAGATGAGGTCATTCAGTAAAGCCCCCATAGTGGCATTAGTGTCCTCATAAAAAGAGAGAGTCTAGAGCAAGAGTATTTACTCTCAGTCATGTGGATACAATGAGAAGATTCTATCTACAGGTCAGGAAGAAGACCTTCCCCAGACACTGAATCTTGGAAACATCTGCCTTTAAAGCTACCCAGTCTTTGTTACCTTTGTTATAGCAGCCCAAACTGACTGAGATAGTCCTATAAGTTTTGAAAGGGTACAGCAATATGGAGGATACAAAATATTAATATAGGCATGTGATTTTGTTTTTATCTGTCTCTGAAATTTAATAGAAGAGAAAATATTAGATAAGCCATTGGTGATCATTTGGCCACCATCTTCAGCTTCTGTTGATATTTTGATTTTGCCTTAAGCATAAACTTGCTTCAGGACTTTTGACGTTGCTAGTGAAGTCTGAGGTCAGCAAGGTTATTTTCCCTCTCTTTGTTAATGGAAACTTGTTTAACTATGCAGCAGTGGTAAAAATTCTAAAGAAGGATACTTCAGTGTCCCAAGTAATCTATTCAACCAAAGCTGCATCCGAAGTCATTAAACCTTTGACCTATACCGTCTGGGCATGTGCCCAAGTGAAAAAGCTAAAACAAAAAACCTCAGTCCCATTACTACATCTTGCCCTAAGCTCTTTGTCAGTGAGTAATTTGTATATGGAAGAATTATATCTGTTCTTGGCAAATGCTTACTTACTCAGGTTTCTTTTAAGATGAAGAATATCCTCCACAAAACTGATGCCAAATATCCTTCCTTAATTCCTTCAGGTGAGAACATGGGCGATGTGTAGAATTTTAAAAATCTACTGCTTGTGTATTTGTATTTATTTTAATTGGTTGTTCTTATTTACTTATGCATAAGGGCAATTTCTAAAAAATCACTGGTTAAGCAAATAATATTCTAATACAAGGGTAATTTCCTGTAAAAATCTTATTTTAATAAAATTGAATAGAGGACTAATGAAGGAGGGAGAAAAGGTTTTTAGGTCACAAAGAGAGAACTATTTAAAAATTCTATACCTCAGTCACAACTTTGTTATTGATTTATTTTGTATATAAATATACACTGACTATAAATTATATAAATGCATAAATAAAATATTGTAATGCATACTTAAAGTATGCTTTTTAGGATGTTATCTTTTTAAATGTCTTTTCCATTTTCACTCAAGAATTTACTAAAAAACCTTCTTTATTATTCTTATATTGTTACCATCTTCTGTAGAACTGGCACAGGGAAACCAGCTTACAGTTTAGTATATAGCTAGTGATATATTTATTTTCATACTTATATAATTATATTAAATGAAGATATATGACACTGTCTACAAAAACATACACAGATGTGAGATTTTTAGGTCTTTGATTAGTTTACAAAAAATGGGATGATAGTAAATATGCTTTTTACATCTTGATTTTCTCCTTCAACAAAAGCTCTTAGAAAGTGGTGTGATACACATTTATTCTTTAAAAATCTATATTTTATTATTGATTTTAGAGAGAGGAAGGAAGTGGAAATAAAAAGAAAGAAACATTGATGAGAGAGAAACACTGATCAGCTGCCTCCTGCATGCTTCCATAAGGGATTGAGCCACAACCTGGGCATGTGCCCTGACTGGAATCAAACCATGATCTCCTAGTTCACAGGTTGATGCTCAACCACTCCAGCTGAGCAAAAATTCATTCTTTTTGAAGACTAAAAAGTATTTTAGAGTATGAATTTACCATAAGTTGTTCAATCATATCTCTTTTCATAGTCATTCCTTTTGTTTCCAGTTTTTAAAAATGTTAATAACTGTGAACTATACTGTAATAATTACTTTGTACATATTTTCATACATATTGATGCTTTCAATTATTTAGAATAGATGCCCAAGAGAGAAATGATTAGGTCCAAAGATACGTCAGCTACTATAGGCTAGCTACAGCTCAGGCTCTGCCATCTTCAGTTGCTCCCTACCTCACCATCCTACTCAGCTGGAAGGAGAAAAGAGACAGAGGAGCACCTCCCTTGTGGGAGAGGCTTATATGGGCCTGGCCTAGTAGAGGTAATGTTACTCTTATGGATTGAATATTGTGCTCTCCCCATCGCAATTTATATGTTGAATCCTTAATCCTCTATGCAATTGTATATGGAAGTAAACCCTTTTGTTAGTCCTCATCAGAGGATATTTTTTCATTAATTTTTAAGGACATTGGGAGAGAGAGGGAAAGACAGAGAGAAACATCAATGTGAGAGAAACTCATCAATTGGTTACCTCCTGCAGGAGCCCCGACCAACTGGGGTCTGGACCAAGAAGGAGCCTGCAATCAAGATTCTTGACTGGAATTGAACCCGAGGCCCTTTCATCTGCAGGCTGATGCTCCACTGAGCCAAACCAAATAAAGCTGGAAGTGGAATCTTTTGGAGGTAATTACGGTAGGTTTAAAAGAGCTCATAAGGTTGGAGCTTCCATGATTACTATTCTTTAAAATATATATATTTCAGAGTGGAAAGGAGATGGAGAGATAAAAACATCAATGATGAGAAAGAATGAATCATTGATTGGCTGCCTCCTGCATGCCTCCCACTGGTTACTGAGCTTGCAACAGGCATGTGCCTTGACCTGAAATCCAACCATGACCTCTTGGCTCATATGTCCATGCTCAACCACTGAGCAGCACTGGCCCAGCCATAATTAATATTCTCAAAAAAAAGGAGAAGAAAGACCAGATATCTGTCTCTCTTTGCCATGTGAGGACATAGCAAGAAGGCTGCAGGCCAGGAAGAAGACCCTCAGCAAGAACCGAATATTCTGGCACTTTAAGCTTGGACTTTCCATTTTCCAGAACTGTGGGAAATAAACATGGGTTATATACATATTTCAAACCATCAAGTTGTACACCTTAAATATATACAATGGTTATTTATTAGTCAGATCTCAGTAAAGCAGAAAAAAATCTGCTAGGCATCCCCATCTATGGTATTTTGTTATAGCAGCACAAGTTGACAAACCAATCCTCCTTAGTCATTGGCTGGAATTAAGTCAAGTAAGGAATTAAAATGTAA